GACCGAAGCAGTTGTTTTTCATTCGTTTGATGTGTTTGAGCTTTTAATTTTGCCATTATATAATGGACTTTCCGTTTTGAATTTCCCTTCAGTGGAGTTCGGTACTTTTGTTATTTTACATTTTTTGTATGAAGCGTTATATTTCTAATAAACTTTCAAAAATGCACAGCATTCTTTTCTATAGTATTTGTTTTAGTAAATATTCCCCCGTCAATTGAAAAAAAAAGAGTCATAACATTACTGAGATACTCTTTTATCCTACTGTAAGAATTGGTCACGTTATAAACGGGAGAGATCTGATAAAATATTTCACTTGATTCTTATTTGAATAAAGGTGTGATTATTGCGGATATTCGCATATCACATTTCGAAAATAATTTCGAAATTAACTAGAGGATCCAAGGAGCACCTATCGCGCACCGGACATTACAGTAAGAATATTTCTAATAGTTTCCGACAGGGGATGTGTGCAAAATTTTTAAGGTCACGTGGTCTTATTTCAGCGTCCCTTCCCCAATTCTAAATATACGACAAAAGCGCAGAAAATGAGTAAAACTGATTATTCAAGAGCACTGTTTATTCTTTTTTAAAGTAGTAAACTGGTTATTTCAGCCGTGTTTACTTCTCTGTAGATCTTATTTAGCTGATTCATTTTTGTTATTGATATTTTCTCTCTATTTACTAATATCATTTTCACAAAAACCAAAAAATGAGTAAAAATGCAGGACAAAATTTTTCACACACACCCTATAAAAATCAAATGGTAGCTCCCTTAAAGTCAATACATTCGAATATAACAGCTTGGTTAAAATAAAGGAACATTTCGGATATATAGATGACGACCACAATTGGATACTGCCTGTCTGTTGAACAACACGTCCACCAAACGTTACAAACATGTTGTCATTAAGAAAATAAAATGCTCCGCTGGGCGCAGCTTGATACGACCGCAGAGGTCGAACCCTGAACAGTTGGGGCAAGTATGGACACAACATACAAGCTTGATACAGCACTGAATTTGGATTGTGATTAAATATTTGACACAGCATAGGTTTCTGACACAGAATGAATGTGGTCTAAGAACTTAAATTTTTTTTAAATACCTATTCAAACCATATCATTATTGTTTGTTTTTATATATAAATCAGAAATAACCAATTTAAAACGGAAAATTTTAAAGAAAAAAGGAAAAAAAAATCCCTCCCCCAAATTTTTTGAACCCCCTTATGATTCATCACCCCCAAACTCAATCCCAGCCTTCCCTTTGTGGTATGGTACCTTGCAGTACAATTTCAGAGAGATCCATACACTTGAACACAAGTTATTGTCTGGAAACTAGAAAAATGCTTGTTTTTAGGCCCCTTTTTAACCCCAATTTCCTAAACGTTTAGGGCAATAACCCCCAAACTCAAACCCAGCTTTCCCTTTGTGATATGGAACCTTGTAGCACAATTTCATAAAGATCCATACACTTACACACAAGTTATTGTTATGAAACTAGAAAAATGCTTGTTTTTTCCCCCTTTTTGGCCCCTAATTCCTAAAATGTCGCGGTAATTACCCCCAAAATCAATCGCAGCCTTCCCTTTGTGGTATGGTACCTTGTAGTACAACTTCAGAGAGATCCATACACTTGAACACAAGTTATTGTCTGGAAACTAGAAAATTGCTTATTTTTTATCCCTTTTTGGCCCCTTATTCCTAAACGTTTCGGACAAATACCCCCAAACTCAATTCCAGCTTTCCCTTTGTGATATGGTACCTTGTAGTACAATTTCAAAAAGATCTATACACTTACACACAAGTTATTATCATGAAACTAGAAAAATGCATGTTTTTGCCCCTTTTTTGGCCCCTATTTCCTAAAACTTTGTGTCAATTACCCCCAAAATCAATCCCAGCATTTCCTTTGTGATATGGAACCTTGTGGTACAATGTCAGAGAGATCCATACACTAAAACACAAGTTATGTCTGGAAGTTACAAAAATGCTTATTTTTGGCCCCTTTTTGGCCCCTTATTCCTAAACTGTTTGTACCATAACCCCCAAAATCAATCCCAATCTTCCTTTTGTGGTATTGAACCTTATGGTTAAATTTCCTAGAGATCCATTTACTTAAACTAAAGTTAGAGTGCCAAAACCAATGTGTCTTCGGACGACGACGACGACAACGCCAACGTCATACCAATATACGACCGCAAAATTTTTTTGCGGTCGTATAAAAACTAGCATCATGTCAGTTTTACAGTTCTAACATCTTAGTTGAATCAATAGGTCTATACTTTTTATATCGTGTAAATAATCCGTATTTATTGCAAACTATTTGTACTTACATTGTTGACTTTAATGAAACAAAGTTGAACATAATTATTATTTTACTCTGGCTTTAAGTTTAAAAAAAATAAAGACATGTGTAAAGGGCAGATAAGTCACATGTTTTGAACCAAATTTACTCTACACAGTAGCTATGTAATACACGTTTTACATTTTATCGCTCTTAATCCTCCTATATTTTTCTTGGACTAAATTTGGCGAGGCAGTGCCTGAATGAAAGCTACGTATCTGGTCATTCAAAGGGAAAAACTCTTGGTGAGCTAATAAAAGGGTTAAAGTATTTATCTATGACAAGAAATACACTTCATTGACAAGTACACGCATTGCGTTTTGTGTTCGTAGCCTGTACGGTCTGTGCATGAGCCTGTTGTCTGCTATATATGCTTATTGTTTTTTAAGCATGTATCAGGCCGTTGGTTTTCTCATATGAATTGTTTCATATTCGCATTAGTTCATGCCAGTGCATTTTATAGCGTACTCATTGTCCATTTATGTAACCTATAGATCTATACATCCTCGTCCTTTGGCCCATGGTTTCTGGTAGATAGTTCATATACCACATCCCCTTGATTTCAAATTTCAGTAATTTTGAGGCATGGTTATGTGGTAACAGCAAACAAATTAAAACGTACCTAATCGGTAAACGGATTTTACAGCTAAAGTTCTTAGTTTTGTGAAAGTTGAACAGTTTTATAGGTTCAGAAGCAAACGACGAACCTCGTTGTCAGAGGTCAACAATGCATGAAAGGTATACACATGTTTAACTGCATGCATTTGATTTTGTCTGTTTCTATGGCCCTCACGTTTTAAATTTACCTTAGAGATCGGTATTTTTGAACCCCCAAGGGTGACTGGGGAATAGAAGTATGGTCACCATTGGTCTTCCTCCGACCGGCAGTAAAACCCTTGCTAAAGTGGGGCGTCCGTTTGGCTGTGCGGGATGTACAAATTTGCAGTCACGTCCGGTCAGAATGGGGACGTTAAATCCGATGTCTCGTGTAAAGAGAGTGCCACGCTCTTTGCACGTTAAGAACCCTTGCAACAACTCTTTGAGGGGTCCGTAGGTGACCTGTTGCAAGGCTAAATTTCTGTCCCTATGCAATATACCCTCATTTCCCGTGGCAGTCCAAATTTCTCCGACCTTAATCTCAGACGCCTCTATTACAGAACCTACCTATTGTATTTATTGTTAATTTGTTCTCGTCCTGAATATGCATGAAATATTTGCCACTGGACGTTAAGCAACCAACAATCAATCAATCGGTATTTTTGTAATACCTTTTTACACTGCGAATGCATTAAGCAATGTAACACTGAAATGAACTCTATTGTAATATAGTAGTCTCAGTTTGACCTTTCAGGAACAGCATTAAAATGCTTTTGAATTCATTCGTCTTGAAGTTAATGAACAATTGCAACAACAAATTTTCGAACGCAAATATCACAATATAGGCCGGTACAGTTTGTAGGATTATGAGGGAATTACATTTATTTTTTAACATTAGCCACTTTTTCATGTTGGAGTGTGCCTGAGAAGGAGGTATTACACTTGTGAACGTATTATATCTTCTGTATACAATCTGCGTATTATGCATGTACCTATATATACAGATCAATAAAAACAATGCGGGGGAGTACACAGACGATGTAAGAACGAGGTTGTTATCTGAGGGGGAGAGTATGCCATATGACATGTTTATTAGTAAATAAACCACCGTCCATCTAAGTAAATATTTGTGCTAAATATAGATATGTTTACAAGTTAAGTAGTAACGGATTCTCTCTGTTTGTATTTATATTAAAGGGAAACTTCGCAAAAAAATTAAAAAAATGGTATTATGTTCATTATGTATAAAAAAGCACAAATTCATAAATATTAACGTTTTATTCCAATAGATAAGAGATCAGCATCGATTCTAAATTGAGATTAATTATAATTAAAATATGATTAAAGACCAATACTTTAAATGATTGTACTTTTAATCCCGGCATACAATACCAGGAGAAAACGTCACGTACTACAGGAAGTAGTCAATATTTTTTTTTATTTATATCGATTTTCTTCTTTATTACTGAACATATAGCGATAAAACTTTGTGAATATGTATTTTATGTTATACTGAACATATTTAAACTAATAGTAAAAAATCGCGAATTTTCCCTTTAATACATTTGGAATCATTTTTTTCTCTATATATGGTAATTTTTATGTTAATGTTCAATTTATTACGATTTTTCACAAAAATATAAGGCACACAGCTCCGTATATGACAGGGCCAATTTATAATGTGAAGATAACACCTTTACTAAAGTGCGTCTGAAATCTTTTCTGGATTTCCACCACGAATGCTCAAACCGAAATAATTTGAAACCCAGGGATATACTTATATACGTGATGATCTATATAAACAATAACATACAGGTCCCTACAATGAATAGCCAACTCTTTATTTGGGAGAGTTTGGACTCAAGTTTCTTAAACATTTCTAAATTTATTATAGAAACGTATGTTATAAACCGCAAAACCGAAATACTGCGCGGATATATTTTGAATGTACTAAATAAAGGTGTCCTCTCGTTAATATTATGACACGGAGATATGAATTGGAATTCAAAACGGTTATTTTTCGTTAATAAAGTGACTTCAAAATGAAGTAAACAAATGATAAATTTTACTCTTTATTTGAGATCAACAAGATAGCCTTAAACAATCTGTTACACAAATTAATTTCAAATGCAGGATGTATTTAAAAAAAAACAATCCATATAAAACATAACAATTTCCTTGAACAATAAATAAAAAAATAAATAGAAACCATTCATACAACAAAATAAATACATTCATAATATTCAGAACAGTATATAGGGTTATTATCATGAACCCATTTACAGTAAATTGACTAGATTGGGGGAAAGTTTGTTTCTTCAAATGGAACGATGAATGTTATAAATGCGGAAATCAGCGTTTACAGTCTCTCAATCATAGTTTTCTCAACGTGCTTCCTCCTATTAGTCATATCGGAAGTTGGCAATCTAAACATAGATACAAACAAATACTAAGGAAACATCATCTTCAAATATATATTTCCCTTTCTTTTTACATCATCAGTTAATCATTCGCAAAGCTGAGGTGAAGTCCACCTAAAAAAGGAAATAAATGCGGATGTATACATGTTTCAGGAAAATACAGTTAACACTTCTTTTTCTGTATCTTTTCTGATTTTGACACAAGTCCGAAACATCCACGAAACAAACTAGGTTTGTGAGATTGTTTTCTGTCGCCTTTTGATACATTTTGAGATTTTTGAGAAAAAGCCGATGATTTAGTTGAAATTTCGTGGAGAAGATGATGTTGTTGATTTGTATTCACTTGACTTTGCGTTACTTCCTCTGTCGTGACGGATGAACCGAAGGATGAGGCGGATGACATTTCGGTCTCCAAAACCTTAATTTTGTTGACTTTGAAGAAAAACTCCTCTGGTGGGCGGTAATTTAACTCAAACTTGCTGACAGTGAGATTGTTGTCGATGTGATGAAAGTAGCACCCTGGAAAAGAAAGAATAGAACATTAAGAATATGTTTCGATCTCAACAAAACGTGTCCTCCATAAATGTTAAATAATATCAATGACATTTCGTCGCCCGTTTTTTAATACACTGTTGCAACCATGGATACACAAATTATACAATTTCAAGCTTTCTTTTTTCTGAATGTATCTTCTCTATCCATTGTGTGCGATTTACCTCAAGCACAAGGCGTTCGATGTTTTTGTTAATGCTTTATTTTACTTGTTTTTCTTCTTTTATTATAGGTGGCATTTCAATGATTTCTATTACTAAAATACATGTACTCCTCAGGATTTTAAAGACCAATTTGAAAAACGGAATTTCCTCTTTACTGTTTTCTTTTCATACTTATTAATTTCTCATACCTACCTTTATGATGATAAGGCTGAACGAAAACCATTCCGTTATCTATTTCATGAATAATGAAGAATCGATCATCTGGATTTGATGGATCCAACTCGGTGTCGCTCGCCTGCAAAATAAGAGGCAAATATTCACTTATGGAAAACTGACTTTTATTCTTGGTTGACATATTTCAACAAAATCATAATGACAATTAAAAAGTCAAGTTATAACATAGATCACTAAACAGTTGATTTATCATTCATATTTATATTCCATCCTTTCAATTAATTACACATGTCATTCATTAAGCATCAAAAACCTGCATTACACCTACGTTGTTACATAATTGTCTACATGCATTATTTCATGCTATATCCGGTGATTTTGTATAAATATAATTAAACAAGACTTCCGGTGCTATTCTTGATGTCTTTAACAATACTGTTTTTCACCTGTTTTAATTTAGCAGTCAATTAAGACTTATATTAATAGTTTTTTTTTGTATCATATTGACATATATTGCGTCAGAATAATAGCCGATAAGACTTACCGAAATTTCTATTCTTTTATCTGTGCCAACAGCAATGTATTTTGTTTTGTCGTGATTTAAATGAAACGCTACCAATATCTTTTCTTTCTCTCCTTCTTTACTTGGAGCATGGATTTGTTTCTGATGGAAAATGCCTACAAAAATAAATGAATTGTATGATTCAACACATCATTATTAGATTATAGAGGATATAATTACAAACAAGTATTTTACCAATTAGTAATAAATTGATTGAGACAGTTTTTTTATCAGTTTGTATTCGAATTACTTCGCCTAGCCTTAAAATACAGTATTATCCTAGGAATATTGACATTACTATAACATGTTGTTTTGAAGCAAATTAAATGCAATTGACGGGATAGGTTATTTGTTATTTTCTTACTGCTATTGCTAACAGACGACACGACAATTCTACATAAAAATAATAAAAGTCTGATGAGACAATGTAATATATGCTATCAATGAAACATTGTTTTTCACCAAGATCGAAACAATGAATTGGAACATAATTTTCAGGTGGCAATAAAATCGTCAAGCAATTTTTTTCTATGGTCATTAACAGATAAACTACTTCGTTGTGATGTATTGACAACTTACAATTCTTGTTAGGCGTTTCTGTGTCTGAAAGGACAATTCGTTTATACATATTGTGGAAACCCATGAAGTAGCCGTCTCCAGTTTCTATAGAAACCACTGTATTGTCTGTCGCATTGTGTGGTGGAACACGTGGGGGTACCTGAAAAATAAGAATAAAATTAAGATATATATCTAAAACATGAACACTACGTCATTCCTACGCTACGAATAAAGATCTGTGTGTTTCATTTTTGTGACATTTGACAGTATTAATAAGCTTTCGAGTCATCATTTAGGTGGGAAGCTTAATCTATGGTAAGAAATATATAATTTAACGACCTTGCGTTATATTACAGACACACTGAATAAACCGTTTTTTTTTGTTGATCGACAACAATGACTTTTCACATTTGTAGATCAAAACAATACGTTTTTGTATTTTTATATATTGCAGGGGGTCGCTGTACGCTGGGGGCAGCTTAATAAATTTTACCACATGCTACGAAAAAGTATATTATTACATACCAAGCAACGCTGAGTTTTATGAAATATTATCCACTAAAACATTGTGCAATGGTTAAAAGGGTAAATAGGCAATTGTTTAAATTAAATTAAAGGGACCAACAACCCGTCGTCAGATTTTTCAGATATTCGTATTATCTTTGAATGTTTTTATTTTATCAAATAGTTAAATTGCAAATAATTTGCTCTATACATACAACGTATTGTAATTTTCTAATAAATCTTTTTTACTGCGTTGTCGGATTGTCCTTTTTTAAATTTGCTTGACCGCGGTTGATTTATCAGCCTTTGATGAATTTTCAAGATACTAAAGTAGTTTTTAATTCCTTATTTATGATAAAGTCGCCCACTCACGTAAAGAGTCTCGTTCATTTCTTTAATATTATCCGATGGCGGTATTTAAAATATTTTATTAACCGCAGATATGCATTTCGAAAATTGTGGTTAAAAAAGCGGAAATCAGGATTAGCTCTATTCATTTACCAGTATTCGTGTTTTAAAGATGAACACATTCATTTTATTGTGAAAACTGGGACGGTCGCATCTTCCAGAACATCATTCAACGATTATATACTCTATATATTGCAACAGATTTAGAAATATACATAGTGATGTTCTATATAAAGATCTTATCCAACATAACACGTGGCGGGGATTTCCAAAGATAACGTCTCGGATGTAATTTAAATCAGTATACTTTAGTTTAATATGAACATGCTTTTGATTTAATCGATGACTTTAATCGTGTGACACTGCATAATGTTGACCAACTATAATAGCCACAATAACGCGAAGAATGTAAGGAATTGCATCAATGCAAAATCCCACATCAGATTGCCATTTAAATCCCCACAAACAAATATGGTCAATATTATCAATTACTCCTATCATCCTACATCTTGTCAATATTTTATAACCCTGAAAGTTAATATTTACTTTTCATAAGGAAAATCAATTTGATTTACACTTTTCCACACCTACATGACTTTGTCATTTTTCGTATGCAACAGTTGTCTATCATTTCATCAAATCTATTTTTAGAATAGTTCATATTTTGTTTCCGTCTTGCTTTGATATAATCTAATAACAGGTGTTTAGATAATCCGATAAAATATTGAAAGAATTTAAATTCTGTATACATTCTTTATCAGGTTAATGTTTGGGTGGTTGCTATTTTGATGTTAAACAATTTATCTACCAGATATTCGTATTAAAATACGTAATAATTTATTTGTACTTTTTGTTCAACTGATTCTTTGCCAAATGTTAGCGTTTCGTGCAATTTTAGGTGATTTTTACTAAGCCCATGTTGTTCTTGAATTCCCAAGCATGTAATGTTGTTCGTTTGATAACGAAGCACGCACCACATTAAAAAAAAACACACTATATTATGTCGAAAAATCAATTGTCATATTTCAACAGCAGATTTATCAAGAAACAGGTGTTTCTTCCCTATGACTAATTTGTAGAATCTGTCACACCATATTACTCGAGTACTAGGAGTAAATTAATTTGATATTTTCTATTTCATCGAAGATAATTTATAGCATAATTAGTGGGTACTGATGATATGGTTTTATTGACTGACATCTTCATTATGATTAGAAGTACAGACATCTCGTGTACAGACAATCTCATTAGTAGCATCAATTGTCATGACACGACTAATACCATAATACCAATGGAATCAGCGTCAAAGGTGTCGTTATATTACATCAAAACTTTCCGTAGGCGAAGGTTTATTAATCAAACAACAACCTAATAATCAAAACTGTCATTTAGTATTGTCTCTTCAGTTTCCCTAGATAATTCTGGATTTAGGAAGACTTTTCTTGTTAAGCAAAATTTATTGTGCATAACAACACTGGGAACAATGAACATTAACTGACAAATTAAAGTACATGTTAAAATTTTGGAAGAAATAACCTTTATTTTATTTTAAAAAAAAATTTAGTGTAGATGAAAAAACATTCATCCCTATTGATTCATCAATTAAAAATGAAATTAACAAATTTAATCAGTACCATTTTCAAATACCAATATCTTCTTACCTTAGTATCTGTTTTGATTAACGTTGTTGTTGATTTCTGTTCTTTTTTGGACAGATGAGTTGTCCCAACACCAAGTGCAGCATCACGTCGGTCTTGTTCTTCTTTAATTTTCTCAATAATAAAATCCGTAAATTTGCTGTCAGTTTCCAATTTGGGCTTCGTATTTGCTTTGATAAAATTAATGCTGCTTAAAATCATGTTGTATTAAATATCCAAGGTGTATCGTTAAACAATTAAATAGATTCCGTATCGATAAGACACTCTGTCTGCTTGAAATTATATGTTTAAATGATCTAAACTATTTCCGCGTGTAATATATATATAGTAATGAAATAACCAATGATTGTTCTGACGTACTCAGGTGAAAGGTGAAAGTAGAAAACCACGTGATTGTAAACATGAATGAACGTAGTACTATATTCCCGATATACAATGTTGTGGTTTACCGTAGAGACAGGTACTGCAGGATTATCAGAATCTATCTTTTTTAAAACAGTTTAAAACATAATGAGACGACTAATGTATTTAAAAAACTTTAGAAAATGACTAGTGGGAAATATGTAAAGAATTTAAAGGTTATTGATGTTCACGCAACACCTATACAAGTAATGCAGAATGATTGGGATCGGCTACTTAGAAAATAAATCGTTCATAACTACAAAATTGGGACAAGGACGTTTTTATCAATTTTATCTCAGTTTGAAGTCTTTTTACTTATTTTTTTCATGAACATGATTTTAAGTGCATTTTATTGAAATAAAAATTGTCAATTTAATATTGATTTTATTTTTGTTACATTAACGTCCAGTGACAAACATTTCATGCATTTTAATAGACGATTTATATATTGAATGTTAAAGGGAGCAAGTGCAATTGTATTCCCACTCATATTTGCTTAGTCTGCAAAGATAGTTTACGGAAACATTACAACTAGTAAATGAGTTTTAGTCTGAAACGGTCATTTTGATCATACCATTATCCGAAAAGACTAATCACTAACTTATTAAGTTTTGTTCAGTCTTTTAGTCAATTTTCAGATATATCAACTGTGGTAAATTCAGTACTTTTCAGACAATTCGCTTGCATGCAATTCATAACTGTTCAGTAACTTTTCAGAAAATTCAGAATGTTGTGGATCTAATGAAAAGTCTGAACAAATCTCTATTGACTGCAAGCGGATAAGTCTTAAAATTGACCGAAAAACTGAAAATGACTTAATAAATAAATAATTTTAATTGAATAGAGGGACAGATTCCCTGAGCCAGACTATAGACAAGATGACAAATTTTGAATGAACGCAGATTCAATAGAGGATACCGGAGATTTGGTATCTACACAAAAATATTGGATACACTAAAATAAATTGACAAAAAGGTGAAAAGTTATGACATTCAGAACGACAAGTAGAATATTAAAATTAGACATTTACAGTTGACTCTTTTTAAAGTTATTTGGGTCCTCAATGCTCTTCAACTTCGTACTTTATTTGACCTTTTAAACTTTTTTATAAGTTCAAGCGTCACTGATGAGTCTTTTGAAGACGAAAACCTCGTCTGGCGTACACATTTTCAATCCTGGTATCTATGATGAGTTTATTATTATGTGTGGGAAGCTGCTGAAATTGCAATATAAGTCTGTTCATTTGTACTTTCTGGAGTAGAACAGTATAACCTTTAGATGTTCATTCTCTTTCATAATTATCACAATGCTTGTCTTAATGACACGTTATTTGTAGCCAACCATAAAGATCATTCTGAATGTTTGTCTGAGATAATCAAATCTGAGTTACTGCAAATGTATGAGAGTTGACACACAAACTTAAAGTGGACTTCAATACAGTAACTTTACTTGCCATATATTGCTTCTTCATATGTGCTTTCCTGTTTTCATTATAATGCGATGTACCAAATCTTTTTAGGAATACTCAAATGTATTGTTTGCTCGCTTGATTATTCGTAGCCTTATGTCTAGTTGCAAATATTTCATTTACATTCAAGATTAGTGATGTATGACCTCCTTATCGGACCACTCTTTTGAAAAGAAAATTAGGGGATAACTTATTATTATTTCTTGCAGCTATTGAATTAAAAAATACAGACTAGAGTATGTAATTATTTCATATAGAGTTTTTAGAATGCAACGATAACCAGACATATTTACAACCCGAGGCATAAAGAGGAACAAATATATAATACACGAAGAAGTTAACAATTGCATACATAAATGTAAATCAGATTCACATCACCAATCTTAAAGTTTAATATATTAATATAATGGATATCTGCTGTTCAAATACTGTTAGTTTGCTGAAATTCACAACAAGACATGAACATTTCTTAAATTTAATCGTTATATCCAAAGAAAGAACAGACACATGTTTGTTTTTATTGAATGTTCATAATGTATTCATATTAATTTGTATATTTAATCGCCGCCAGTTAATAAGTACAATCGAAAAAATATCTTTTGAAAATATACTTAAGAGATAAGTACAACGTGTAAGCATAGAATGATCTGGTACTTTTTATGTTGATCCGTTAACTCAAATGACGATTTGAATGTTGGATTGGTATTTAAAGCTCGCAAATGATTTATCTTAAATGAGCTCAAACATTTATTAGTTGCCATTTTGATATTTGTCGAAATATTTTCTCATTCTTCAAAAAATTGTAGGTTTTGTCTTTTTGTTGTTTTAGCCATGTTTTTTAGAAGGGCTGGAATCAACATTAATTTTAAGTTTCCACTAACTCTGATCAAACTGATATAAATGTATAAAACATCCTACAAAATAGCATTCTACGTTCTGTTCAAATCATAGGTTAGTACATATATTATCTCCCTTAACATACTTGGTTATATATAAGCTGAAAATAATGTTTAACCAAGGTATATTTTTGGAATAGTAGTGGATTTTCAGTTGCAGATTCCTTTTTGTCCGTCTGTATTATGCAATTTTTGAGCAGACGTTATTTAAAGCAACAATTTGTCGGAAGGTAATTCACCTAATGTTATACCCTGTATATGCATGTACCATCACGCAATTTTTTTAATGTTAATACTGAGTGTTAATACCATAATGAAAGAATTTATTGGTATATAGGATTTAAAATCGAGTTTAGTATGAAGTATACGTATGGGAAGATACATTGGTTTAACAAGAGGCCTTATTTAAATACTTGACAAAACTGAACTTAAATGCGATCCAATTTAGAAACAAGACATGAACAAATTATTTAAAGAAATTTTTATCGTTTTCTTGAAAATTTACAAAGTAACATTATAAAGTTAATGGCATTTTAGTGTTATTTCATATCAAAAGCTTAGTTTTGTTATAATAACAATCATAATTTCTTACATACAACTATGAATTTATTTTTCTTTCAAGGTCAAGAAACAAAGGAATGGAATGTCTACGAGACGTCCATAAATACAAGTTAAAACGTTTAATCCTAATTTAATTTTGTACATACATTATATATATCAATCATGTAATATGTAAAGTGCATCTAGGTATAAATAATTACCAGGAAGAAGAGAAAAGATTAATGTGTATTTCATTGTTTGACAAATCATGTGTAGTAACCTATTATTTAAAAATATAACAAATGCAATACGAGTTATGTTTAGAAATAAAAAAAATCAGATTTTTGTATGAAAATTTACAGTTTTTTTTCCAGACTAAAAAGCATACTTTGAATTCATTAAAATGTTTAGAACCACAACCTTTTCAGTCACACCTTGAACTACATTTGTACGAACAAAGAAACGTTCAATTTTGATTGATTGTTTGCTTTTATAGATTGTAATCAATCTCCTATCGGTTTTCTAAGAAGTTAAGTTAGAAAACTACACATAAAAAATAGAAACCCAAGGCCAGAACGACAGGAGGGAACTTTGTCCAGGTTGTTCAGAATTATGGCTGTATCAATGTGTATTATACTTTTAAACTGAAAAAAATTCAGACAAAGTATATAATTTGCTTTTAAAGCTTTCGGTCTCGAACTTACCTGATAAGGTTATTCGTGAAACACGTGTCGAACGCATGGAAAGCAGTACCATAATTTTTATGACATAAACTATTACTATGTAGATTCAGCCGACGGTGGTCTGTCTCCGGTCCGGTACCAGTACGAGCTTGAGTAGAAAGATAAACTTTGGATTGTAATTTTCAGTTTAAAAGTTCTTTAATTGTACTGTATTGCTTATACAAATATCATTTGGCTTTCCAAATATTTGGCTCCATTTTACCTGATGAATAATTGTCTAGAATACAGAAAAATGAGTCGGGCGCAAGGAATTCGTTATCAAGTTTCTATTTTACAAAGGAAATGAAAAGCAACATGGCGCAAATTTTATCTTCTTCTAATGTTCATCTCAGGCGATTGAATTAAAACTTTCATGTGTGACATTTGATCTTTTCAAATAGCGTTGTGCTCCTCTCTCTCTTTTAATGTACAGGAAACAAATCAATCATAACCAAGCACAAGGAAGCTTAAACCAGTTAAACCAGATAATTTAATCATAGAGACTTTCATAGTAATGGTCTGCAATTCCATTGATCTGCAGAGGCATTTTCAAGAGAAACATATTTTAACGAACAAACCTACCACGTGTGTAACAGTCGGATATAAACACTGGAAACGTGAAAACGCGAAACGAAAATCATTTCTGCTTTTCGCGTTTCACTTGATTTTATATAAAAGATGGCCATCATAGATATAAAATGACTTTATTTTTTATGGCATTATATATAGATAGATATAGAAAATTTTGGAGTTAAATGTAGAATTGGTTCATCTTATTAATCGATAGTATTAACCTCGTTTCAGCAGCTGTAAATTGTCTGTACATTCGTTGTATTTGTAATCATTATTGTATTCAAGTCCTGAGAAAAATACACAAAAAGGACGACTTTATATGTATCTACATTTCTTTTTAAAATAACGACCTTCAGATACTTTTATAGAAATTATAGAATGTTGAAAGTTTTAATTCGAGCGTTACTAATGAGTGTATTGTAGACGAAACGCGTGTCCGGTGTACCAAATTATAAGCCAGGTATCTTTGAAGAATGTTTACAATCACTTGGTCGATGCCACTGATTGTGGACGTTTCGTCCCCGAGGGTATCACCAGCCTAATAATCAGATCTTTGTGTTCACATGAACTATCATTCATACATGACAAACATTCATTTGCTGTTAATAAAATGTTGAATCATTTGAAACACTAAGGTTTTTTTTTACCTCATTGCTTATATTGCCGAAGTCATAGTAATGGTCTGCAATTCCATTGATCTGCAGAGGCATTTT